ATATTGATACTTTAAATTTATAATAATTCAAAAATTATCCTCTTATGAGATAGAATTAATTAAATCTTAATTAAGGATAATAAATTCTTACATATAAAAAAAAAAAGATGGAAACAAATTTCACACGAAATTTTTTTTTTTATCCAATTAGGCAGGAAGAACAACATATTGAAAACTTAATGATTTAGAACCCATCCCCCATAAAATAAAGAAGAAAAGAAACATCATAATTGATATATACAAAATAATGTTAATTATACCAATATGGAAGGAGAAAAAAAGGAAAGTAACTAATATACCCCGATAGGGAAATATTTTTAGAAGGAAAATTATTTACTTTCAAAATGGTAGAAAAACATTTAAACAAGTTTATTTATTGTAGAAAATTTATGAAACTACTAAAAATTACCATTCTGAAAATTTTTTAATTTAGAAAAAAGTGAAGAACATCACTTAAAAAACCAGAAATAAATTTGTATTTAATTTTAGAGATTTAAAAACCAAAAAATAAGATTGTATTTTGGGTAAATAATAATAAAAGTAAATATCGTAATTCGTAATCATAAGTGGTAGTCGTATTTCATCTTTATTAAAAAAAAAAAAAAGAAAAAAGAAAAGAAAAGAAAAGAAAAGAAAAAAGCATAATTAAAATGGGAGATGACATGGCAATGGCATCTGAGGAGGAGGAGATATATAAAGCGAAAATGTTTTTAGAGGAGGTCAACCCTAGATTACACAGGGGAACAACCAGAAGGTGCACAGAGGAAAAAGCCTCACCAAACAAAAACTTCCTCCACCACCACCTTCTTCAACACCCTCACCACCACCACTCCCTTCTCTTCTCTTCTTCTCTCACTCTCTACTTCTTTCTATTCTACTATTTTTCCCGCCAAAAAATGACCATCGGAATCTGTAGATAAACTTTTTTGTTTCTTTGTTTGCTTTTCTTTTTTTTTTTTTTTTGGGGGTAGTTTGTCTCTTTGCTTCGTTAATGAAATCGGCCCTCGCAATCTGATCCTCTGTGTCGCTCGCTCCTCAGAAATGGGCATGGAGTCCGCTCCCGGTCACTTCACTCTCATGAAAAGGTAATAGATGCTTCCGGACGAACCCTAATTTCGCCTTTTTTAGAAATGTTTGGTTTGTTTGTGAAATCGTTTTCTTACAACCTGTTTAATGCGATTCAATGACGGATAACGCTTGATTCGGATTCTCTACTCCGTGATCTAATGGAATCTCTGGCTAGTTTTGTTTTGTGTTGATTTGGTGCAGTGAGAAACGGAAGGTTGAAAAACCGAAAGGAAAGTTAAAAGTTCTTTTAGGTTTTATATTTAAGCCTTCTAAATCTGTGCATGATTCAGTTGTATAGAGGGTTTCATTTCGCTTCGTTTTTCTTTTTGGGAGGGTTTCATCTCGCGTCCTCTCCTCCGTTTCTTCATGTTTGTCCTATTTGGCTTCCTAGATTTTACCTGGAGTTGGAGAGAGATGTTGGGAGTTCGCGATAAAGTTAGGTTTTATATGAGCATATTCCGGCTACTTTGGTAACTGACACTCGTTTGCAAGTGTTTGGCAGAAATATGGTCTACGATTCTGGGAGTACTCTTCAATGTCGCCTTTTGCTCTTTGGCTCCTTGCTGAAGACATTGAGGGTGAGAATGCATGTCCTGTGATTTATCTGAGAAAACATGACTTGGTCATCTAAGCCAACTCAAGAAAGGGGATATACCCTGTGTTGAACACTTGGAATTAGATTTTGAGGAAGTTCCGTAAGCTGATTGGTGTAAACTGGTGGGTTCTCTGCTCGTTGTCTAAGAGAATTCCTCTATAAGTTGGAAAGCTAAAAGGGGTGATGGAGGGAAGATTGTTTTTATTTCCTTAAGTCTGTTCTCGAATTCATAGATGGCTTTGTCTTTACTTGTGATGTCACATAAAGCATTGAAAGGGTGGAAATCCAATCCGTGCGTATGGGCACCGTGATTTGGAGAATATATAACTGTTGTAAGAAGTGTTGATGTTGCCTCTGAAGTTGTTCTTGTGAAGTTGGATCAAGGATCCTGTAACTATTGTGTTTAGAAGAAGAGAATAGAACATGACGTTTAGATTTTTCTGTGACGCCAATGTAATCTTCAAAACTTTTCGCCGGACTTTAAAGGGCTGATTATTACTACATCCCCAGCACTACTAAAGATAGGGATTTATGTGGAAATCTGGTAACAAACTTGGATTTACCTGAATTATTCTTGCTTTTTTTGGCAGTTTTCATTTCACTATTTGGTTATACTCGGTACTCTCTCTTGGAGGTAACTCCAGCTGTAGCAGCTGTGTTTCTTTGGGTTTACAGATCAACAAATTTCATATCCAAGTGTGTAAATACTTATTTCCTTCTTGGTCTGCTTTATGTTTTCCAAACATATATGACAAAGCCTTTCACTTACCATTCTCACACTAAAATAGAATTATTTGGTCATTTATGTTTCTCTTTCTCCTTTTGTTTCTATCTATCTGTTACCATCATGTACATTTGATTTGTTTTCCTCTATTGCTTAATATATACTCTTCAAGGCTTTTTGAGATCATTGGTTGATATTTTGCAAATGCTCTGATGAATTTGTTCTTTAGAATATTGAAAGCAGTCATTCTACAATATTGAGCTGGAATTGTGGTTAACTTTCTTCTCAAAACTTCTGAACATATTTACTTGCTAACTGAACAATATATCGAGTTTCAGGTAACCATTCCTCTGATCTTTTTCCTCATTTCAACGCAGTGCAGTTACTGATCCTAATCTTGAAGATTGTGGGAACACCATGATTGTGAAAGCATACCCATTGGGTATGGTCCGTTTGGTAAATAATAATATTGTTCCTGAGGATGAAGGAGAGTCTAGACTTGAGCCACGTGTGGGATTAGAGTTCGATTCAGCAGATGAGGCTCGTGAGTTCTACAGTTTATATGCTATGCGTGTGGGTTTCAAAATCCGGACCGGTCAACTATATCGTTCACGTACTGATGGGACAGTTTCATCGAGGAGATTTGTTTGCTCAAAGGAGGGCTTTCAGCTAAATTCAAGGACTGGTTGTCCTGCTTTCATAAGAGTGCAAAGACGTGATTCTGGGAAGTGGGTTCTTGACCAAATACAAAAGGATCACAATCATGAACTTGGACTCACTGAGGAAAACCCAGTTCCTGTTCCACAGCAAAGGACCCCAACAGTTGCAAAATCATCAGCTCCCCCTAGGCCGAAGGTAAAACTGCTTAATGAAGTTGATGGTGGACATACGAGTGCATCTGGAGCCATTACTGTTAAACGCCTTAAAAGGGCAGGTGATGCAGGGCATCCAAAAGCTGAACCATGTGCAGGTCTGGAGTTCAATTCAGCTAATGAAGCGTACGAGTTTTATCATATATATGCAGAAAGTGCTGGGTTCAGAATTCGGATTGGTCAGTTGTTTCGGTCAAAAGTTGATGGATCAATCACATCGCGGCGATTTGTGTGCTCAAAGGAAGGGTTTCAGCACCCTTCAAGAGTAGGTTGTGGGGCATTTATGAGAATTAAGAGGCAGGACAATGGAACTTGGATTGTAGACCGGCTTCAGAAAGATCATAATCATGATCTTGAGCTGGGAAATCTTAAGAAGACTTCTTCAACTTCAAAGAAATTAATGGATGATGTGATTGGCGGTTTGGATTCTGTGGATCTAATTGAACTAAACAATGGTGGCCTTATAAAAACTGGTCGAGAGAACAATATCGGGAGTGATTGGTATTGTTTACTACTTGAATATTTTCAGACTAGACAAGCAGAAGATACAGGATTCTTTTATTCAGTGGAGGTCGATAATGGTAATTGCATGAGTGTCTTTTGGGCAGACAGCATCTCTAGGTTCTCATGCAGTCAGTTCGGTGATGCTGTTGTTTTGGATACTTCATATAGGAGGGGTAATTATTTGGTGCCATTTGCAACATTTGTTGGAGTTAATCATCACAAGCAGCCGGTGCTTCTTGCATCTGCTCTGATTGCTGACGAGTCTAAGGAATCCTTCTTATGGTTGTTTCAGACATGGCTGCGGGCCATGTCAGGGCGGCGCCCAAAGTCAATTATAGCTGATCAAGATTTGGCGATCCAACAAGCAATTGCGCAAGTGTTTCCTGGGACACACCATCGTTTTTCAATGTGGCAGATTAGGGCCAAGGAGCGAGAGCATTTCAGGTCATTGCCCAATGAATTCAAATATGATTATGAGAAGTGCATCTATCAGAGTCAGACAACTGTTGAATTTAATACCATGTGGAATGCCATCATCAACAAATATGGATTGAGGGAAAACCTCTGGCTGAAGGAGATGTATGAAAAGCGTGAAAGTTGGGTTCCATTGTACTTACGGGGCACCTTTTTTGCTGGCATCCCCCTGAATGAAACTATTGAATCATTTTTTGGTACTTTTCTGACTGCACTGACGCCCCTCAGGGAGTTTATCCCTCGATATGAGCAAGGACTTCAACGGCGTCGCGAGGATGAAAGAAAAGAGGATTTTAACTCGTTTAACCTTCAGGCATTTCTGCAAACAAAAGAACCAGTAGAAGAGCAATGTAGAAGGCTATATACACTTAGTGTGTTCAAGATATTCCAGAATGAACTTGTACAGTCTTATAATTATCTTGGAATAAAGACTTATGAAGAAGGGACAATCAGCAGATTCTCTGTGCGGAAATGTGGGAATGAGAATGAGAAACATGCTGTTACCTTCAGTGCATCCAACCTCAATGTCAGTTGCAGCTGTCAGATGTTTGAATTTGAAGGCGTACTATGCAGACATGTCTTGAAAGTGTTCAACCTGTTGGATATAAGGGAACTTCCATCACGTTATGTCTTGCATCGATGGACAAAAAATGCTGAATTTGGTTTTGTACGCGATATTGAATCAGGGGTAAGTTCTCAAGAACTCAAGGCTTTGATGGTTTGGAGTTTAAGAGAAGCAGCCTGTAAATATATAGAGTCTGGGGCATCATCTCTAGAAAAATACAAGCTTGCCTATGAGATTATGCGGGAGGGTGGGAAAAAACTTTGTTGGCAGAGATAAATGCCAGAAAGGAAGGTCAGATATCTTAATAGGGGTTAGTTTTGTAGTTTAAAGTTCCTGTGTAGTTAAGGCTTTGTAAGGGTCTTTAGTTATGTAACTGAAGACCATTGACTTGCTTTGCTAATAATATTTTGCCCTGCATTCAAGTTGTGAAGTTTGAAATTTATTTTGCTTTTGCTTTGAATTGTGGGTCATAATGGACTGAAGAAACTGGCTCA